ACCTAGGATCCAGGCGATCGGGGTTCGATTCCCGGTCAGGGCACATGCCCGGGTTGCGGGCTTGGTCAATGACTCTCTCATCATTGATGTTTCTCTCTCTCTCTCCCTCTCCTTTCCTCTCTCTGAAATCAATAAAGATATATTTTTTTTAAAAATAAAATAAAAAAATAAAAATAAAAAACATACAGACCAAAGAACAGTATAGATCACTTTGTATTTATTTCATGTTTCACTGAATTATTTCAAATAACAGAATTCAACTCCAAAATAAGGTAATTAATGCTTAAGTTGTTATTTCCTTGCATTTTCCCTCCTAAAATTTTAACACAGCACAACACATTAAAGACATGTGAATAGGTTCAGTGCACTTCAGTGGCTCACAACCATGAGACAAAGATCACAATTATCCATAAAAATTAAGACAAATAGCTCACTATTTTTAAAATATTATTGACATGAAATATAGGGGGGGAAAAAAATACTGCATTTTTACCACAACTGTTTTGGTAGATGACAGAATATTATTTAAAATAATGCTCCTCTTCAGAACATCTGCTGTGGTTGGCATGCTTGGCACGTAAGCACTTGGTAACTGCTCAGCTTCCACCTGCAGTTTGTCAGAAGGGCCCTTACTCAGGCCCACTTTCCCTGAGCCTGACCTGCCTGTACCCCCAGGGTCTATTCTGATGGGACCTTGATCTTTCTTCTCCTACCTGCTCTTAAGACTTTGCTGTCTTCCCTTATTCTCCCCAGATTCACCATGACACTGCTGGGAGCTTGAGGATGAATCTCACCTTCTATTTAAAAAGAGAAACCTACGCAGGAAATTCCAGTCACTTTTCACTGCTCTTATAGCAAGATTTTGCTGTGTTTTTAAAAGCATGAAAGTAACAAGGTATTACATTTTTTAAATGAATAACTTAAAAATTAATTTTAAAAAATACTGTTTTGTTTTTAGGAAGGAATACACTAGACACAAATAACTAATGAAATCTATCAGCTCTGGGGAATCCCCTCAGCCTCTTTCAGATCAGCTATGATTAATGAGATAACCTAAAACCAGAACTCCACCTGGTGATAAACAGTACCAATTAACCAGAGTATTAACTTCAGTAACTTAAAGCTATATTACCTGAATAGTCTCCATGGTGAAGTGTCAGAAAAAGTGAAATAATAAATATCTCCACAGCACCATAAGGTTTTATAAAATATAATTTCAGTTTTTAACATTAATGTACAATCTCAAGATTCTGTACCATCATTCATATTAGACTGCTACTAGTTCTGACAGACGCCACAAAGGCGCAACCATAACATGAAAATGATGTATTTTACTGAAGAACCTTATATTCAGTCACTGTTTCAGTTGTATCCACTGAGTACTTAGTGGGCTTAAAGGCCAGAAAAATGGTTTTACCATTCAGAGTCTAATCACAAATTTTAACTTGCTAAAAGAACCAAAGTGACAACTGAGATATCTGCCAAAACTAAAAAGTCCTCTTATATGTTTGCTTTAGTACTGTGTGCTCTTGTGGGTTTTGTTTCTATAAGATAATATTTTATAAATGGCTCTGAGTTTTTAACATAAGAATAGTGATTCAATAAAAATAAATGCAAGTGGAAAACAGATAAATTTTATAATCAAATTATCTGCAATTATGTATAACAAGTTATCTATAACTTATCACAGATTGGATTCTCCAATACCCAGCATGCTCATAGATCTCCTGAATTAAGTGTGGGCTGTTCCAACTTAGTTCAACATTGATCTAAGCAAAACATAATTGAAAGTAATTATGTTTACCAAAATGTACACGCTGCATTCCAAAGCCAAATATGAATTAGATTTGGGGTTATCAATTCCATGTCTTCCCTCCATTAATGCAGAGAACTCAGATTTGGCTTTACTACAAATCAGCTAGCACTAGAGTAAATTTGCTATAAAATTATTTATAACAAAATAAATATTTTCAGTCCCTCTACACTAAGTGATATATAAATCATTAGCAGTTTATAACATTAGCTTAGGTCACTCTTTGGGACCCAAACATACTGTACAATCCTGAGTAAAAGGTTAGGGGTACAGTTTCTTGGGGATCTTTCTTGATCAGGAATCATAAAGGAAACACACAAAACCACAACTTACAATTATCCCCATTTTCATTAGAAGTACCATGAGTTCTTTTTACTTTGGTAAATAAGTTTATCTATGTAAACCATTTATTTTGATGGAGTAATATATAAGAGTTTCTGCTAGGATCCCTCCATCACCTTTTGACACTGATACAGTAAATAGTCAGGAAGAGTAGAGCAGGAAGATCTGAACCATAGGGCTAATACGTCACCATGAACTCGGTAATGCAGCAAACAGGGGATGGAGGGGAGCAGCTGACAGGCCAACAGCCCTTCACTGCCTACAAAAAACAAAAATTAAAAATTCTTTAATACAAAATGACTTCAGTAGACATTTATACAAAGAAGATATACACATGGCCAATAAGCACATGGAAAGATACTCAATATCATTGATCATTAAGGAAATGCTAATTAAAACCACAATGAAATACCACTTCACACACATGAGGATGGTAATTATCAAAATCAATAAATAATAAGGATTAGTGAGGATGTGGAGAAATTTGAACCCTTTACATTGCTGGTTAGGATGTAAACAGTACAGTTGCTGTGAAAAACGATACAAAAGGTTCTCCAAAAATTAAATATAGAATTACCATATGATCTATCAATTCTACTTCTGGGTATATAATCTAAAGAATTGAAAGTAGGGACTTAAACACTGATATCTGTATACCCAGAGTCACAGCAGCATTATTCACAGTAGCCAAAAAGTAAAAGTAGCCAAAGTGTCCATCGACAGATGAATGGATAAATAAAATGTGGTATATTCATGCAATGGAATATTCATTAGGAAATTTTGACATGTGTTACAACATGGATGAACCTTGAAGACATTATGTTATGTGAAATTGGGCAGTCACAAAGGCAATATTGTATGATTCCACTTCTATGAGTACCTAACGTAGTCAAATTCATAGAGACAGAAAATAAGATGGTGGTGTCAGGGGCTGGAGAGTGAGGGGGGATGGGGAGTTCATGCTTAATGGGTACAGTTTTAGTTAGGGGAGAAGGGAAACTTCAGGAGATGATGGTGGCAATGGCTGCAAAACAACATGAATGTACTTAATGCCACTAAGCTGTACACTTAAAAATGGTTAAAATTATAAATTCTGTTATGTATATTTTATCAAAGAAATTCTTTAATAAAATCTAAAAGATTCTAATAACGGGAAATACAGCTATAAGACATCTGACACTTTTGTGTTCTGATTGTGAGAAAGTCCGTATAAACACAGGACTGCCTTTTCATAACTCTACGAACCTATAATGTCAACAACATGAAGTCTCAGCTGCTGTTGCAGTGTCTTCAGGGCGGAGGGCAGAGTGGCATGAGATTCTGACAATTTTACATTTTGCTTCACGTCATTTCCAAAGGATAACCAGAGTTTGCCAAAGTCTTCAGTTGAGATTTCTAATGGTCTAAAAATAATGTTTAAAATTAAATTGATGTCCAAAAGAATGAACTGATTCTAAACAATCATTGTAAATCTGGGTCCTACAAAAATTGTTTTTAAACCAAATATGATTAGAATGCTAATCATCATCCTCCAACCTGATGAAAGCAAGAAATGTTATTAAAGTGCAAATGTTTTTTCAATAAATCACCTAGTTATTTTGAGTATTAGTGATTTCAGTAAAATTTTACCAAGAAATTTCATGAGTCATTCAAATATAATATAAAACTTTTCTTTCATGTACACTTTGGATTTGGGGATCATGAGACACTCTATTAAAGTCATATACAATAGTATGAATACAAAGACCCAGAACCTTAAGTAAATTAGACTAAGAGAACAGACTTTAGCAAATGTATTTTAGAAATGATTCATGAGCCCAGCTGGTGTGGCTCAGCTGGCTGAGCATCATTCCATGAACAAGGAGGTCACGGTTCAATTACCAGTCAGGGCTCATGCCCGGGATGTGGGCTCGATCCCCAGTAGGGGCATGCAGGAGGCAGCCGATGGATGTTCCTCTCTCATCAATGTTTCTATCTCTCTCTCCCTCTCCCTCCCTCTCTCTAAAATCAATAAAAACATATTAAAAAACAACAAAAAAACAATTCATGAGACTGAAGATCCAATAGTTAACATTGGTATCTAAAGGTGTAATTATAGGAAACTTTGAAATTCTACTTATATTTTCCTACAGCATTTGAATTTTCATAATATGTATATACTGATTTCATAGTTAGGAAGATATTTTTAAAGATACAGAGGATTTTATTAATATGCACAGAAGAATTGTTATATATATATTGTGCTTCCTTGGTTTATGAATGCTCACTATGGGAGATATCTCATAGTCATTTAAATTCTTATATAGTGACACAAGTATAAATACTCTTTGACAGATTAATAGACATGTTCTTACTAAAAGACTTTAAAGAGTAGGCAAAAATTGTAGTAGTGCAACACAATTGGATGTGTGCAGAATTAAAAAATTTTACAGATAATCACTGGTATTATGCATTCTTGGTTCAAGCAGCCTTCATTTTTAAAAATGTTTGAATACATTACAATATGTTCATAACACTGAGAAGAGTTAAGAGGTTGTTTTCAATTATTTTGGTAACACTGTACAGTGCCTAATATAATGCTAAATACTTACTGTGTGTCTAATAAAAATGTAATAACTTTGCTGAGTAATTTTCTTGCAGATCTCTAAAGCTTAATAAACAGAATTAATCAAATAAATGAAACACAAATGAGAAATTTTAAAAGCTTTTACAAAAGCCAGGCAATCTTTAAAGTTATTTCAGTTTAAACGTTACTTTAATATCAGTTTTTCTCAGAAGTTTTCCAGGATCACTAACCAACCCCAACGTAAATCGGGTGCCATATTATAATCGGTAATTGTACCATTTACTTTCTCTTCAAAGTACAATTCACAATTATATATGCATTTATATGATTGTTCAATGTCTCCTCCCAAGGCTGGACACTCCCTAAAGGTAGGGGCTGTATCTAGTTTTGAACTGTTATACTCCCTGGTAACTAGTATAGTGCTTCTATCCAGAGAAGAGGCCCACTAAATATATGCTGAATGAATGGATAACCTGATTAAAGTTCCAGAAAATACTTACCTAATGAAATCCAACAGTGATAAGTTTACTGAAAATTCGAGCTGAACATCATGAGCATCCATCATTTGATAATTTATAAAGCCAGAAAGATTCCCTTCTGTAAAAGGTTTTTCCATCTGCACACTATATTGAAAGTGTGTGGTGTTCTCTGCTTCTATTACAGGCAAGCAGCATCCAGGTAGCTCAGTGATCTGTAAATAAAAGTTAACAAAAAGTATTGAAGAAGGGATCGATATAGACTATCATATGAATACCAAATTTCTATGTAATTGAAGTGGTATAAAAGCATACTATTGTGAGATGTTAATAACAAACCACATTATGAAGATGACTAACAACCTCACCTGAGAAAAATTCACTAGCACAGATAATTAAGAATAGTACACAGATCAAAAATATGTAACAAATGTCATTACAATGAAAACCTCTGTATAATTTAAAAACAAAAAAAAGTGTTTATTAAACTCTAGTATTTGTGGCTCTCAATCCTGGCTAGCATCAGATTTTTAAAGCTAGGAGAGTTAAAAAAAGATGTATACAGGTGCCTTCCCTTCTCATTCTCCACCCTTACTCAAGCTCTGGTGGTAGAGCTCAGGCAACTGAATTGAGTTTTGTTTTAAGTTCCACAGGTTATTCTCATGCACATCTAGAGTTGGAAACTTCTGCCCTGGTCAGGCGCAGGTAATATCCCTTTCAACACATTCTCGCTCATAGAAGAAATTGGGTCAGTTTTGTGGAATATTGATCTACTGGTCAAATCTCATTATAACTCCACCAAGGACAGCCACACAATAATACAATTAGCATTAGCATTATTTTCAGAAATCACAGTGGCAGTCTTTGGAGCTAGGCAAGAAACACAATTGATGCCTGAGCACTCAGTATAATGCAAAATTACTATTAATATCTTCACTTCAAATTCAAGGAAACTATGGCACAAAGCAGGTATATAACTTGATGACATAACACAGCTAATATGCAGCAGAAGCAAGATTCAAAGCTGAGTAGTCTGAGTCAAGAATCTATATTCATGCCCGGCCGGGCGTGGCTCAGCAGTTGAGGGTCGACCTAGGATCCAGGCGATCAGGGTTTGATTCCCGGTCAGGGAACATGCCTGGGTTGCGGGCTGCAACGACTCTCTCGTCGTTGATGTTTCTATCCCTCTCTCCCTCTCCTTTCCTCTCTCTGAAATCAATAAAGATATATTAAAAAAAAAAAAGAATCTATATTCATAACTACTGTGCTCTATCAAAATGCGCTTTATTCAGGGTGGGGCAAAAGTAGGTTTACAGTTGTGAGTATACATGAAACACAGAATTTATTCTTGAATTATTATTTATTAATTATTGTATTATTTTCCATACGAACAACTGTAAACCTGCTTTTGCCCCACCCTGTATTTATGGCCTTCCCCAATACAATCTTCATCATGTTTCCTTGTCTCTTTTGAATAATTCATCCCTACTCAAAATAATAAAAAATCTGTCACATCTTTTACTTTTTTTTGCTAAAGAGGAAGGAAGAATGTGAAAGAAATGCATAACCCATCAGAAGAGCCAACAGCAGGAATACTAAGCACTGAACATTTAAGGTGGAAATAATGAACCATTCGTTGTCTTACCTTAAAATTTTCTGCAGGAGCAATTTCTAAGTTAACACTTTTCAGTTCCGAACCACTCTTATCAGAAACCAACCACACCAACAATAAACAATCATCTTTCCAAATTTTGTAAGAAGACACTGACATAGTTTCATTACTGCAGAGCTCCGTAAGATCCGAACACATGTGCTCAGTAGTTTCTTCCAACAAGGCAGCAGCTAAGGAGACTTCGCTGGCTGCCGAGGCTGCGGCGGGTTGAGGAGAATGAAAACCTTCCGTGTTGTTATCAGCAAACAAAGCAGGTGCAGGCCGCCTGCAATTTGAGAGTTTCCCAGCCAAGCGCAGTTCTGTGAGTGACTCAGAATCTAAAAGTTCTGAACTGAGAGTCAATTTCTTTAATTCTTTGTCTCCTCTATCCCGCAAATTACCCAAGTAATTATCTTCTTCGAAAGTCACATCTGATGAAGAACTAAAGGGAGAACAGGCCATGTTACGAGCACTGGTTGTTTCTCCACTTTTGGTTTCCTTGACTTTTGATTTCCTTCTGAACTTGTGAGAGAAGGTATCTGCTTTTCCTAGCTGTGAAAATGAAACATAATGATATAAAAAGAAACCATTCTTCTGGTCATGAGTTTTAAACATTTTTTTACAATTTCAAAAGAGCAATTTACTATCTTGCTAAAGTTCTATCTATAAAGCATAGATTAAAAAAGAATCAGAGATGAAAAAAATGTTAAGCCCTGAAATTCTGACAGCTACATAACTTTGAACTATTAGCTAAATCTTATTTCCCATTATAAACACATAAAATCAGAAAAAGAAATAATGTTATAAAGTCAATTGTGAGCAATTCTAAAAACTTGCTAGATTTCAGAATACTAGAGTACATATAAAATTGCACAAATTAAAAACAGTAAGAAACCTAGCTATTTTTTGAGTTTCTTGAGTTTTCCTGTAGAAGGTAAGATATCCTCAAATACAGGATATCTCTCAAATACAGGATGGCTCAAACTCTGATTCAGTAATCTATAATAATCATGATCTCATGGCCTCTGAGTCAATAAACAGGAAAGACAAACTGGTTTTACCTCAACAATCAACTGGCAATGACTGACTGGAACACACAGCAGGAAAAGAATTCTATAGGTAATAGTGATGTTTGCTATGAACTCTAGAGATGAGAACAGCAAATTTGCCACCCTTGAGCTAACCCTCCTGAGGAATGGTTGGCAAATCTGTGTAAGAAACAGCTCAAGTGTCCCGTTGCCTCTTAAAGTTCTATCTAAAATCAGTAGAGCAGATTGGCACTACTCTGAGTGCAAGTCCATGCCTCCATCCCCCTGGGGGCTGTAACACTATGTGGCCACCCTTCACAGGATTCTAGTTAACCAGAATTCTAGTTCCCTTTCTATACCCTCTCATTCCCTCAAATCCCAACATCTCTTCCAACTCTCAGCAGATAAGTTTGTCTCTTACCTTTCAATTCAGAAATCATCAAACAAGAACTAACATTGTTTTAACACAAAAACAAGTGAGGGGGGGTGAAGGACTTCCAGTCCTGTAGCCATGGGACTTGAATTAGACATATAGTAGTCCCCTTTATCTGTGGTTTTGCTTTCCATGGTTTCCCAGTCAAACTCAGTCCAAAAATATTAAATGGAAAATTCCAGAAATAAACAATTCATAAGTTTTAAATTGCACATCATTCAAAGTAGTGTGATCGAATCTCTCACTGTCCCACTCCATACATCCTGGGACGTGAATCATCCCTGTGTCCAGCACATCCACGCTGCATACGATACCCATTCATTAGTCACTTAGCCGCCGTCTGGGTTATCAGATCAGCTGTCTCATCTCGGTATTGCCGTGCCTGTGTTCAAGTACCCATATTTTGCTTAGAAATGACCCCAAAACACAAGAGTAGTGATGCTGGCAATTTAGATGCACCAAAGAGAAGCAATAAAGTACTTCCTTTAAATGAAAAGGTGAAAGTTCTTGACTCAATAAGGAACCAAAAAAGTCATATGCTGAGGTTGCTAAGAACAAATCTATTCATGAAACTGCGAGGAAGAAAAAAAAATTCATGCTATTCTTTCTGTGGCAACTCAAACTGCAAAAGTCACAGCTACAGTCAGTAATGAGTACTTAGCGAAGATAGAAAAGGCATTAAATTTGCGCTGGAAGACATGAACAGAAAATGTATTTTAAGTGACTGGCAAAGTAAGCACTGAGCTTATACAAAGACTTCAGCAAAAGGAGTGACACCAAGCCATTTACTGCAAGCAAGGGATGGTTACACAGATTCAGGGAGGCTTAGCATTTTTTCATCTCACATCATCACAAGAAGGATGAATATAATAAGATATTCTGACAGAGAGAAACCACATTCAAACAACTTTTATTATAGTATATTGTTATAAATGTTCCATCTTGTTATTAGTTATTGTTGTTAATCTCCTACTGTGCCTAATTTATAAATTAAACTTTATCATAGTTATGTGTAAGAAAAAACAGTATACATAAGGCTCAGTACTATCCAGTTTCAGACATGTGCTGGGGGTCTTGGAGCATATCCCCTGTGGATAAGGGGAGACTATTGTATATTAAACAGTTCAATATTATTCCTCAGGTCACAGATGCTCTAGGTTTGTTTGTTTGTTTGCTTTATCTTTTCTTTCTGTTGCTGTGCTTCACTTTGGATAGTATCTATTACTTTGTCTTCAAGTTTAATAACCTTTTCTTCTACACTGTCTAATATGCTGTTAATTGGAAACTACACAAGGCAGAAGACACTGGAATAACATACTTGTTAAAATATCTAAATAAAAGAAACAGTCAACCTAGAACTCAGTACTCTGAGAAAATGTCTTTTAAAAATTAAGGTGAAATAAAAGGTGAAGAGGGGGGAGGGATCCTTGACCCTTACAGTAAACTACGTAAAAAAAATTAACTAAAAACAGACCACACACACACACACAAAATAGGCCACATACATAAAAATAAAAACTAGTTAAAGTGAAATACATTAATATAGCCTTGATCTACGTAACTGAGAATTTTAACATTAGAAAAATTGGAAGGGAATAGGATTGGTAGAGAAAAGTAGCCATTCAGAGAAAAAGCAAATTAAAACCACAATATCAGAATAGCTATCATCAATAAATCCACAAACAACAAGTGTTGGCAAGGGTGTGAAGAAAAGGGAACTCTTGTGCACTGTTGGTGGGAATGCATATTGGTACAGCCACTGTGGAAAACAGTATGGAGTGTCCTCAAAAAATTAAAAATGGAACTACCTTATGACCCAATGGCTCCACTTCTGGGAATATATCCGAAGAAACCTGAAACACTAATTCAAAAGAATATATGCACCCCTATGTTCACTGCCACATTTACAATAGCCAAGATTCGGAAGCAGCTCATGTGCCCATCAGTAGGTGAGTGGATAAAAAAGCTCTGGTGCCTTTATACAGTGGTCTACTACTAGGCCATAAAAAGAAAGGAAATCTTATCTTTATCGACAGCATGGATGGACCTGCAGAGTATTATGCTAAGTGAAATAAGCCAGTCAGAGAAAGACAAGTAGCATATGATTTCACTTATATGTGGAATCTAATGAACAAAATAAACTAACAAACAAAATAGAAATAGACTCATAGATAGAGAAAAGAATGGCAATTGTCAGCAGGAAGAGGGTTTGCAGGGCTGGGTGAAAAAGATGAAGGGATTAAGCAAAAAATAAAAATAAAATAAAAAACACAACTCATAGACACAGATAACAGTATGGTCACTACCAGAGGGAAAGGGGGGGAGTGGAAGAGGGTAAAGCAGGGATAAATGGTGACAGGAGACTTGACCTGGGTGGTGACCACGCAATATAATATACAGATGATGTATTATAAAATTGTATACCTGAAATCTGTACAATTTTATTAATCAATGTCATCCAATAAATTCAATAAGAATTTTTCTTAAAAAGGAGTCCTAGTACAGATGCAATATATCCAGTCAGAGCCAATACTGTCTGCTTTGCCCTAGTGACAGAGGAAAAGTTGGGGTTGAAGAGTGAGAAGACACATGCTAATTTTATGTAATCATTTGCTTCCCCTCCTTTCTGCATGATGCCATCTGAGTTACAACACAGTTCCTCACAGAATTCAGGGTCCCATAAAACAGGGAAATAAACTCCTTTAAAAAAAACAAGAACCAAAAACTACTGTAGTGACCGTTGAGGGTAAAAGTATAAGAGGTAAGCCAAAAAGAATTTAGCATAATTTAAATAGAAAAACATCCAATTATAGTTCTGATTTCAAGCCACCCACAAAAAAAGTTTGATAATGAGTTTGTCACCCTGAACGTTCTCCTGAGAAAGTCTCTAACTCTATGCACTTTGTGGAGCAGGTAGGAGTCCTTCAATACCAGCAATGAGGTTCACAAAGCAGTGCCCTACCTAAGCCTGGGTGCACTCTGACCTTGATGCAATTCGATCTGGGTGCACTCTGAGACCTGCCCCATCAGTGTCTGAGCATTCACTGGTATCCTCACCACAGGCTGCTGGAATAACCCTAGACCCAAGATCAGTTACTACGCTGTTGAACTGCATATGTTGAGTGAGACAGCATTAAGATACATTGCTTATCAATACTTCTGGGCTGAATTTGTTTTTTCTGAGGAGGGAATGAATATCAAGTCTGATAGAAATGGGATCTGGAAAAGAAAGAGATACAGGCAGAGTGTAGTCTGGAGTCTGGCCTAGTGTTGACAGGGATGGAGAAAATATTCCACCATGGGACAAGGAGAATGATAGAACTGAGATAATGTAAAACTGAAGAAAATATAGCTCTAATTACAATTTTGCACTAGGTAGGTTCATTGGCCCACCAAATTGAAAATGATATGGAACGCTCAGATGCTCAAAAATAGCACCTGTCCTTCATTCCAATTTTTTCATTCTTTTACTATGAGAATAATACATTAGCATAAAAACTTTTGAAAATCATCATAATAGTAATGCCTGAATGTAGTTTTCATTTTTGTATAATTCCTTTCAGTCTCAAAGCACTTACCTTCTTAACAGTTATAGATAAGGTATAAATAAAATTTTACATTCTATTTTTAATATATCATAAGTATTTTTATTTTACAATACAGTATTTATCATTTTTAATAGCTGAATAATATTCTGAGCTAATATAATTTATGTACCCATTCTCCTGTTAAACAACTAGACTATTTTTCACTATTAAAAACACCATTTTGAGAAGTACTTTTTTCACAGACAAATCAATATTGTTGAACTATTATTATTGACAGTATTTCCATCAAGCCCACCTCCCACTGAGAACTGTCCTCCACCCACCGGGGTGAGAATACCCCCGGTTATATTTGTAACTTTTTTGGGGCCCTGACCCTTGCCCTAGCTGACTAGACAGACTAGAGAGAACATCTGACTCAAGCTGAGCCAATCATGTTTTCTCTTTCAGGAATACAAAGGTATGTGACTGGTGGCTCTGGAGCTGGGAAAGCCATTTCCCACCACGTATACAGAGGACAGCCAAGAGCTTTTATAGAGCAAGGTGTTTTTTTGTATGAAACAGGGGACACAGATTCTCACAGGAACTTAAGAGGCTACTCACCAAATTGACTGTACTTTCTGATCCTAGCCCAACAAATAATGATGATGCCAGCAGCTGCTTTTCTTTCTCCTCTTTAGACTGGGTAAGGACTTGAGATGGATCCTTTTTTGTTATAGTTTGATCTACATTCTCCATTATTATACTCTCTTGTGGGACAGGCGGAGCTTCAGTTTCATCTCCAGTTTTGCTTTCCTTCTTGGGAAGATAGCCCTCTTTCCCCCACAATTTCTTAATGCCTTCCAGCTTCAAGCTACTTGTCCTAAGGAAATTGATAATGAAATCAAGTCAATTTAAATAACTACTAAACAATTACTTTCTTGAGGGGGTTTTAAAAACACATCATTGCCATGGCCTTTTAGAAACAGCTTTTACATTCTATTCTATAAAATAAAATCTCTAGATTTTATTTCCATTGCAGCCAACCTCCCTCTACCCTTCAACCAAAGGATTTAAGGCAATAGAAATCTAGGCGTAGTTTAAAACTGCAGATCATTTAATTTTCATTTAATTGTTTAAATAAGTTGTCCACAAATAGAACTCCTGTAAATCAGTTGCTTAACCCCATTGACTTTTCAAAATATCTTTAATACTGATGAGTTAAAGATGAGAAATGACTCTTAAGTTTCTTAGCTATAATCACTCAATGAAAGAACTAACCCTACATAAATAAAGTCCTGTTGAAAGGGAAAAAAAACCAACATTCAAATTCACTCCGATGTGTAAACCTACCTTTAATCCAAAAGATTCTTACCAAGAACACTAGCTACATTTTCAACTATTATAATGTACCTTTATAAAAATGAAGTGAGGTTTGATTTATAAAAGAAAAATGTGAGATTTTTTGGAAAAAGCATGAAGGTTAGGAGGTTTTTATACTTGAGTTGAAGAATTAAAGTGGTGATTAGAATTTGGACCCACCTAACTGTTGTCCCCAAAGTGACAGCTATGAATCTGGAGTACCTAATATAATCGTAAGCACAGGCTGAAACAGCCAAAGACTGCCTCTATTGTGTTCATATAAGGACTATGTGTCCTTGGCACTTGGCTCAGTTAAGTAGCCCTATCGTGGTCCAAAATAGCATTTTAAAAATTTGCACTGTAAGATAGGCAGATCATGAAATGAATCTAAAGGAAGATTCAGAAATGTTTGTACTGATTATTATTCCCTTCTAATTTGTTGAAATCATGATCACTTTTTCTGTACTATGCCAGAAACAAAAATAGGTAGTTATACTTCATACTGAGTGAAGAACTAATGTTATTAAGTTCTAATTGGTTGAAAGAAAATCTGAACATCAATAAAGAATGACCTATAGAGAATTAGTCCATTCCTCCTCAATGAATTTTGCTGCTAAATGGTTCTTTACAAGTATCTTCATTTCTCCCTTTCAGGTACCAAAGAGTTTTCTAAAATATTAAAAAAATAAAAGCTGTTATCTATCAACCTCTTAAAAGAAAATTGGTTTTCCTAGCAGGAGCAGATCCAAAAGTGGTCATGGGAGCCACTGAAGTGATCCTCAACAACGCGAGGATACTCAACAGCAGCAATTCAAAGGGACTCATGAATGTCCACAGCAGGATTACAGTGTTTCTATGACCCATTTACAAAAACATATTCTTTAATGATTTAAAAAAAAAAAGCAAGGCCCCAAGTTTTACTAACAAATGATTCAAATATTGGTTTAACAAAAAAAAAAGCAGGTGTGTTGGCCATTAGGATGCTCCATCCAGATCCCCCTTCAATGAAGGACTATATTGTCCCAGCGGTTGGTAGTGCAACCCCCTCAGGGACTGCCCTGGGGCAGAGAGTTACCTCACCAAAGATAACACCCCTTTGGAGGGCAGTCCACACTCAATGACTAATGAACAGAAACACAGAGCCCTGTCCACCTATTTTGGCCCAACTCAGGACAAATCTGAAGGGCCAAACTAGCTTCAGAGCTCCCAGGCGGTCAGTAAAAGCTGTTACTGGCACTGCATGCATCTTAACTTCTTCCTCTGCCCAAACCTGCTTCTTTCCCCTTCCTTCCACAGGTGTTGATCCCAAGGGCACTCCTTAACTTGCTGACCAGCTATTTCAAGCCAGAACTCGCCTGTGCAGCCGGCTACTTTTCCATCGTGACCAGTCAGCAGTGTTTAAAATTACTTAAATTGATGTAAGTGCAGACACAAGTTAACTCGTGACTGGTCAGTAACGTTCAGACATGGAAACACGTGTATACTCGAGACCAGTCAGCAAGGTGTTTATTCTACATACTGAATTCCATCATGCTGTGTGCTTCTCAGGGAACCCAACCGACAACAATGGGCAAAATGGAAAAGGGGAAGAAAAGTAAGCCTAAAAGTAGCATTGAGCTATTTTAAACTTTTTCTGGCTTATGTCATCTGCATAACATGCCTATCATCAACATAAATTTTCTCTGTCATTATATACACAGTCTAAAAAGCAGAAAAATAAATAAGAGCAGCATAAAGACTTCATATACCAAATATGACATGAAACACATTGTAAAAGAATTTTTTTGAACATAAGTCATCTTTGTCTGAATTTTGACAACAATAAAAATATAACCCATGGTTTTATATGGCATACCTTTGTATTATTTTGAATCAGACTATTCAAACACAGAAGTAAATTTTGGCCAAGCAACCTTCAAAAGATTAGAGATATATTTTGACTCAACTCTAGGAATTCCCATTTGAGATAGGGTGCTGCCTGTAAAAGGGCTTAAGGTAAGAACTCTAAATTGGGCTGGCTACTGTTTTATTATCAGCTTCCCAGAGACTACAGAAGAGTGACTATCTCCTCTCTAAAGCTGATTCACCTTGCCAATTACCACAGAGAATCCTAATTTGAAATAATGTGTGAGCTGTGGTCCTCTTTGGAAAAGAATTTTAAATACACCTCTCGTGTTCCATTTTGTGGTAATACAGCATATGTGTAATTCCTTAACTGCTTTGCCAAATGTCCTTTCTCTGAGGGTAGTATATGTATGCGTATAGAATTTACAAGGCCCTGTCATGTCCTCCAGATCCTAGTTCAATACTATAAAGCAGATGCTGCCAACTGTTGTACAGGAAAGAGACTAAGTTTCCTCCCTGGGTTTGGAGGGTTCCTGTCGCCTTCCCTTGCCCTTCACCCTGTTTGAGGTACTTAGTTGTTATCACCTCCACTATCACATGCCTACAAACCGTATCTGCTTCCTATGCTTGGAATACCAAAAATTAAATGTCTGAAAAAGAAATGGGTGTCCACATGGCAGGAAAAAAGGCTAAGAAAGAGAATTTGAATTTATGCCACTTCATTCAGCATTATCATTCTATATTCCTCATGATCTATGTGTCTTTCTTCTGAGAAATACTTCTTATAACTATCTCCCTGGAAGACTGATAAATGCAAAGATGAACATAAAATAAGGTGGCTGACTCCTTAATGAAGATATGAAAACTCAAAATTCAAATGTCATCTTTCAAAGTTGTCACCTTTGAGATCTTATCACATTTATTCCAACAATGCTGCCATTACTCAAAACACTTGGATTCTTTTTAGAAGAAGCTCCTACACAAACAAGAAAGCCATTTTCATTACTTTATATCACAACAGATATTGGCAAAGTCACCCGGATTGATCAGAAATTGTATTCGATAAACTCAGCTTTTGGATAGTCTTGATAATGATGGCAATGACAATTAATAATAGCAGCTACCACTGATTAATCACCATGTACTCAGTTGTATCAGGCACTTTGCATAATTATATCATTTTATGAATTTAATCATGTTTCTGAGAGTAATTTATTTATATTTCCAAAATCAAAACCTACTTAAAAAGGTTAAGATTTGGCTGCACTAAGACATTTAGACATCTGTATCACCAATTTTCAAAGTGGTTGGAAAGCTCTAAAAGCATTCTGAGTAAAGTACACAACTTCCTCAGGTGAAATCAATCACTTTATTTTATGTTCAACTCTATATCTGTCAATCTTCCAATGGGATGGTAATAAAAAGAAGATTATGAGAAATGTAGTGATATTCTCAATACTCACCTGGGTATATAAATTTTGATATACTTCTTTAAATACACACACACACACACACACACACGTTTATATATACGCACACATACATACAATATGGAGTAATAACACACACATCATTACTATGTGTAAAGCTTATATATATCCTATGCTGTCTTGAAAATGAGCTATTTCTCTTGAAGTACAAGGACATACTGCACCGTTGTTAACACTTTGAGAGCAAGAAATAAAAACAACAGCCCATGCAGAATTTAGCTTTCAGGAACCCTTCTACATTTAAAGACATTTAAATACTCCCATGTTCTCAATTTTAATAAGGAAGGAACTTACTCTTTCAGCCCAGTCTCTGCACTGTTTCCAGATATATCTGAACCCAGAGAAATGCCAGCAGGAGACTGTCGTCCAGTAAAGCCAGATGAAGAAAAGGAGAGTCCATATGGTTCAAAATTGAGAACTAGAATTTTAAAACAATGAGAGGTTCATATTTAAGACAAATCAAAAATTACTTTTAAAAAAGCAAAAATTATCAGTTACCATTCATTATTAAAATAAAACAATTGAAGACTAGAATCCAGTGACAATTTTTAAACTGGAAGGGAGACTTTGGAGATGACCTACCCAAATATTTATAGTAATAATAATAAAGCAGCTATGATTTATTTCAATCAACTACAGTCTTCATATTATTAGTTGGTCAAAGACAGTCCTTCATTTTTATCATTTTACCTCCCTTAGAAGATAAACAGGAATTCCATTAGGAAAGACAACTGATAAACCATATCTACTGAAAAGTTGCTGCTCTCATGCAAAAATGTTTAAGAAGCTATGAATGAAGAGATGACTGCATTTTTGCTTAACAAAATGGCACATTTCTGTACCAAATGGACTGACATAGCCCTCATTGTGAAATCTCCCTTACTGATCAAGAACAAGGTTTACTCAGGTTTGGATACCTTTGAGCTTGTATACCCAAATGAATTCAATCAGAACCATGAAAATTCATAGTTATTGTGGTAGAGCAGATGCCAATATCCATTCTCTTCTTTCTAAGTAATAGAACCCTTGATTCTTAACTAGGTACATGGCCACCTAGAAAAGAAATGACATTGCCAAACTCCTTTGCCATTTGACTAAGTTCTGGCCAATAAAATTACACACACATTTTATGTGCAACTTCTGGAAGGAATCCTCCTGGAAGAAAAAACATCTTTCTTTTCTCCCTTCCTCTTCTATATTTATGAAGCCAACATCAATCTAAGGCTACCTACTTATGAATTTCTTTAATGGGAAAGAGCAATAACCTTCTGCTTTGCAGGCCCCACTGTGTGTGTTTATTTTCCTGACACATTTACCTTTTTGATCTGTTTGGATTGTAATACAAAGGACCTTCTTAAATCATAAAAAGTACCTTAGAATATATAAATGTGAACTTCTGTAATTATTATCCTCATTCTACAAATGAAGAAGCTGTGGTAGAGAGTTTGCCATGAACTTACCCACGATTACAAAGACAGAAAACAACACAGACAGGTAAGGAATCAGATACTCTGGTTCCAGAGCTTCACTCTCAACTATTATATTATAGTGCCTCCTCCAAAGAAACAGCACCTGATCCAAAGAGTACCAGATAAATGTTTGTTTGTTAGCTTAAAGGATGATATAGAAGAGGAATCAATGTGTAGTAGAAAAAAGTAATAGGCTAATTAATAATCAGGAGAACTGAGTTCTTGATGTAGGTCAGGTGTTAACTAGGTGCATGAATAGACCTTAATTTCTTTATAAAGTGAAGGGTTCACACTAGGTCAGCAGTTTCCAAATGCTAATATGATAACCAAAATCAAGCTAACTTCACAGATCACCCACGGACCTTTGTGTACATACAGCCAAGCTTTCAGAGATTTAGATACAGAAGGTATAAGGATAGGGCTCAAAACTCTATCATTTTTTAAATCCCACTTTGTGTTTTGTTTGCTTGTTTTTCTAATCCTCACCCAAGGATATATTTTCCTATTGATTTAGAGAGAAAGGGGGAGAGAAACATCGATGTGAGAGAGAAACATTAATCAGTTGCCTCCCATACACGCCTTGACTGGGGATCGAACACACAACCTGGGTATGTGCCCTAACTGAGAATCAAACCCGAAACCATTCAGTGCATGAGACGATGCTCCAACTGAGCCATACTGGCCAGGGCTAAAAACCCTTTCTATGATTATGATTCACAATCATGTTTGGGCCCTAGCCAGTTTGGCTCAGTGGTTAGAGCGTCGGCCTGCAGACTGAAGGTTCCAGGTTCGATTCTGGCCAAGGGCACATACCTCGGTTGCAGGCTCAATCCCCGGCCCTGGTTGGTGCACATGCAGGAGGCAACCAATCAATGTGCCTCTCTCACATCGATGTTTCTCTCTCTCTCCCTCTCTCTGTCGCTCCTTCCACTCCCTCTGAAAAGCAATGGAAAAAATATCCTCAGATGAGGATTAAAAAAAAATTTTTTTATTAATAAAATAAAGAGAGAAAAAAGACACAATCATGTTTGAAAACCACTTGTCTAAATCCTTCTAAGATCCTTTTCAGCTAAAATATCTTCTCATTTTAAGCTTTTCAAATGATCTAGTTTAACCTTCTATCCCATACTGGCCTCTCTTTAAACAGCATCTCTGACAGTGGGTCATCCAGCCTCTGCACTAACACTTCCAGTGAAAGTGAGTAGCTCAAGAAATGTTTCCTGTGCACAAGACAAAGAGTTTATGCCAAAGAGTAAGCAAGCACAGAGAGTCAAAGCAAAGAACAAAAAGAATGCAAAATTAGAGATGAGAATCTGAAAGGAGAGACTAGACATGGAAGAGGGCGGTATCTGGAGAAGAGACACATAAAATCCTGATCCTCTAACAAAACAATTAAAGGTTGCCATCTATGGAAAGCCTAGAAAGCTCGAGGTGGAGAATGAAGTTCCAACCACATTTTTTTTTTCTTTTTTAATGTATCTTTATTGATTTCAGAGAGAGAGGGGGAGAGAGAGAGAAACATCAATGATGAGAGAGAGAGATATTGAGTGGCTGCCTCCTGCAGCCCCCGAATGAGAATCGAGCTAGCAACCCAGGCATGTGCCCTGACCGGGAATCAAACCGCGATCTCCTGGATCCTAGGTGGATGCTCAACTGCTGAGCCACACCCGGCCAGGCAACCAACCACATTATTTTTATTCTTTAGGGAAAATTTCCCAAGATCCTTACGGAAGTGAATGACGAGAAGAGCCAAAGATTTTTAGGAGTTAACTAGATATATAAGTGTTCACGTGTATGTGGGGAGCAAGAGAATAATGGTATGCAGAAGGGAGAAGGAAGAAGATGGTTGAACTGCAACTTAATGAATATGCAGAAGTTAACCAGAAGGAGAATGAGTGCCAAGGGCAATTCATGCAAAAGAGAAGGCATGAGCTGAAGGCAGAGAGAGTCCTTGGGAGAGCCCAGGTAAGAAATAAAATATAAACTATCCCAGGTGTAAATGAGAAATTCAATATTTAATCTGTTTTTATACTTCATGACCTTAGAGGCCTTGATTATATGCACACTCCTTTTAAAATATTTTTTATTATATAAGTTTCAGGTGTACAACGTTATAATTTGACATCTGTATACACTACAAAGTGATCACCCTCAAAAGTCCACTTACTATCTGAACACTCCTTCTTTGTCTTACCTTATACTGCAGTTCCTTTGCACCTGCTCATTTGACTATACTTCTCCGGTCATCCCGAGCTATTTGTGTTTGTTTTGATTTTGAGAGGCTAACAATTTCAACTTGATATGGTTTTCTAAAAGTCATAGTTCTGCAGAAAGGAAATCATACTGCTATTTCCCCTTACTATTTCTGATTTTATCTAACATTGGGGATACAACACATTCAAATAAAACATATTCGAATAATGATTTAATAGAATAATCCACACTGATTCCTAAATGCTTTTCTTGGGTGGGAACTGGTAATAGTTTGTTCCCTACCATCCCACCTCTAATTCTTAGGATCTTACAATAGTTCCCTAAAGTTTATTATTAACTTGGTCTCTTATAAACTTGGTATTTTTCTACCCAAGAGAGCTAAGTATCATTCATAAAAGTGACACTTAACTACTACTCTCTGCAAATGGCTTATAAAAATCTAAAGTAAAATCAGTATCAGACTGATTGGTACTTGAAGGATTCCAGAATTAATACCTTTTAGGCCAAATATACCCATCTTTCCCCCTACTCTTTATTTTCTGTCTTATAGCCAGGCCAATTGTAAAATATATAATTTTATAACTTACTCTTCAACTATTTATTAAGTCTCTGCTATGTCCTGTTTCATAACTGATTTCTTTTTCCATGATGTAACAGTAGTCTAAGTTCAGGAAGTTTTAATTTTACTTTAAAGAATATTTAAAAAATAGATTTGGGAAGAGAAGGGAAGAGCCTAATTTGAAAGCTTAACCCCATTTATAATGATGGTTCTATGCGGGAGAAAAAACTTGGCAAAGGAATGCATTAGCTTCGGGAATTCCAGGACTATCTATTATATTTACATCAGCCACTTAACTTATTTTAAGAAAGGAGACAAGCAGTGCCAGGAATTACACTCCTCGTCCTATCTCCCCTTTCCTGCCCCACCCCTGAATTGCAATAATAGCAACTGATGGCCCCAGACATATTGAATATAAAGAGTATGGCAACTGGACCATATCTCCCACTCTGGAACTCCAGATTTTCACTCTATGCCCTGGATGTCATAAGGTCTCTATATGTACTTTAGTCATAAGCTGGGCAATTATAATTCAAAACTTTATTTCCCCCTCCCACATATTCTATCAATACATATATGAGGAGTTAATAGAGAGGAAACTGATTACCCTTTGAAAGAAAATTGATTTCTAGGCCATTTGGTATCACTGTGCTAAATAATATGTCAAAAAGTTTAAATACTTCTGCAAAAAGATAACATCAAGCCTATTATTAATATTTATACTTTTTGGTCTCATTTTAGGATCAACCATTGAGTTGTACTCATATGCCTAGCACAGAGCCTAGAAAATTAATTAAATACTCAACAAAATCATTAAATGATGAATAGAAACAAAAAAGACCTTTTAGCATGAAATGTCAGTATTAACATTCTGAACTCCTATAATATTCAATGGTCCCTTTTATTCATAAACATACTTTTCCATCTACCATCCAAATATCTCAATAATTTCTTTACTAAAATCATGACAGAAATCTTTCCCTGACAGATTACATTTCTTTTTTTAATATGTTTTTATTGATTTCAGAGAAAGGAAGGGAGAGGGAGAGATAGAAACATCGATCGGCAGCCTCCTGCATACTCCCTAGTGGGCTCGAGCCAGCAACCTGGGCATATGCCCTAACTGGAATCAAACCCGCAACCTCTTGGTGCATGGTTGAACCTCCAGTGGCTCAACCACTGAGCCACTCTGGCTGGAGCCAGGCTATACTTCTTAAATGTAGTTTAAGTTATTCTTTCCTTTCTTAGCTGCTCTTAACTTCACTGGGTCAGACATTTTGTTGGAGGAAGCATCCTAACACACTTAAGATATACAAGGCTGCTCAGAATGAAAATGAAACTCCTTAGTCGATAGTAACCAGTTTTTTTCTGAAACTTTTTCGCAGATATGCTCACACTAATATCTGTCAGCCCTCTACCACAGTGACGAACATAATAATTCCACCTTTAAGGTCTTTCAAAATTCCTGGATGGCTGTCAGGTGTTAGGCATTGCTGTATATGAAGCCTATGACTTTGGGAATACCTCTAGGCTAACTTCCTTTTTCCTGGGTTTCCAAAGACCTAGTCAGGGTAAACAAATCACAAACAGGTTTGAAGACAGAAAATAAAAGTAAATATCCTCAATTACCTACTTACATGCTTAAAATCTAGTTTACAAACTCATAAAAAAATTACCTTTTTCCTGAGAAAGCTTTTCCTCCTGCCGTTGGTGGTGAGGTTTGTAAGGTGCTGCCCCCTGACTGAGTTCTTCAGCCACAAAACCATCCAGAAAAGATAAGGAAGCATCTACCTGTATTAAATTGAAGAAAAAATTAGGAATTTAAAAAATTTATCCTAAAGAGTAGACTATATTCACAGAAGTACTTTCAGCCGATATATCCTAAAAACAATTTTTAGGTGAAAAACAGAAGTCCACTCCAAAAGTACTACCTAACTCTCTAGCTTTCTGAAACACTTATAATCAAATCACTAAGTCATTTGCAGTTATTATTAATTTCATTGCATTAAGGAATACATTTTTGAGCATCCAATATATCAGGGCATCATGTCAGGTCTATGATTAAGACAAAGGGAGATACAGTCCCTGCCCTCATGAGACTTGTAACCTACCAGAGGAGAAGACACATACCCTATGAGCTATAATCTGTATTAGTTTCCTGCTGCCGGGGGATAAAAAAAAGGTGCTGGCAACACTAGTTCCTTCTGGAGACTCCAGGGGAGAATAAGTACCTGTCTCTTCCAGGTTCTTGAGGCTGCAAGCATTCCTTGGCTTATGGTCACATCACTCTGATCTCTGTTTCTATAGCTACTCTGTCTTCTCTTTGCTGAACTCTTGCCTTACTTCCCTAAGGACCCTTGTGATTATCTCAGGCCTACTTGGACAATCCAGGATAATCCCCCGCGCCCCATCGAAAAATCCTTAACTTAATCCCATCTACAAAGACCCTTTTACCACGTAAGGTAATATACACACACATTCCAGGGATTGAGATGTGGGCCTCTTGGGGAGCTATTATTCAGCCTCCCACAGTGCCTTTGATTTAACTATCTGATTCCTTTCTACCTGAAAAAGCTTTTTTACAAATCAATGCAAAATTACTTAATTTACTTAATTTCAGCAGGAATAAAAAGGTACAAGAAAATGATTAAATAAATAAGAGAGAGACAAAGAACAAGTAAAGGGAAAAGGAGAAGAGAAAAAGTGAGGAGAGAAAGAAAAATGAGATATACACAAGAGCATAGTAGTGGTGACCTCAGAAACCAGAGACTTGCTTCTCCAGCTCAGATAATTTAGAACAGCAGGTAATTCTCAAACACTTAAGTGGAATGTCACACTCTGAATTTGGAAAGATTTAGTTTCACTAAGATTCTTGGAGAAAAGAGGAAGTGTGGTTATTTCCTAGTTTAATTTTATATGCAGCATATTTATTCATCATTTCAATGAACGTCTCTGAAATGTCTACCAAATGTAAAAGCAAGGCCTCTGCCTTTGAGGAGCTATGAAAGAACTAATGAACAAAGCTTCAAAATTAATACAAGTCATGAAAACCTGGTTCAGAATTAGTGGGAATAATGCCCATCCTCTCCTCTTTATCAACTATATGACATCTAACACCTAAAAATTAGGGCAAATCTGGTTTCATTTTGGAAGTTTTCTGATTCACACCAATCTGAGGGAGAAACTGGTACAAATTCAGAGGGTTAGTAGTAACTGAGTGCTGGGTTAAAAGGGGTGGTGGCTAAATGGAGGTGGGAGAAAGAAAGGTGGGTGGTCAGGTTCCAAAGTGGTAAAGAATTTAGACAGCAGATGGACAAAATAAAATGGAGAACGATTTTCTACATTCTCAAAGAAAGTAATAATAAAATGACATATTGGAGAAGTTCAAAGGAGATAAAAATTCTTGAATTACATATTAAAAGAGATTGTCAAAGAGTATAAATCCCTTCACTGCAGTTCTCCAGAAGAGATACGCTTCAATTCCTGACTATTTAGGATCACTACTGAACCGAAGCTCTCAAACGCTCTCTCACACTAATGTGAGAAAAACTCCAACCTACAGAAACTATAATGTAACATACTCCTGATATATCACAAATGCAAGAATTATTCTGTTTAAAGATTACGCAATTTTTAAAAAGAGGGAACACAGATGTCTTACCACCATGTCTTCACAACTCTTATTAACTGGAAGCAAGCTCTTCATAAGTTCCACATTCTCCTGCAAATGCTTTAATTCAAATGCATGCTGTCTCAGACGTGTATCCAAAGATATGGTAAATTCCTGGATCAATCTCTCAACAATGTTAGAAGAGGGTGCTTGGGGTGTCAACTTGGTCACGGCAGCAATTAACCAGGCTTTTGTTTCTGAAGAAACGGAGTCATTCATAAGTAACTTGTAGAGCTTGCTTATAACTTTCTCTGGTGTGTCCTTATCTGAGAGGTAGGAATACTCCCCTAATACCTATGAGTAAAACAAGGAGATGTTTATATACAAATATCAAGTTACACAGCAAACTACACTTGGAAATCTAAACAAAGTGTCTATTGCTGAAGTGAGTTTAATCTAGATTAAACATATTGTCAAGGTAAAAAATATATATTAGATAAAGATACATTTTAGGTTCAAAATTATACCAAGAATTGGAACTCAATACAAAAAAGTTTTCCATATCTTTATATAAATTAACAATATATAAAACAGATACCTTTACTAGTTAGCTTTCTTCTGAACTTCCAGGTTTGGTTGTTGGCTTTTACAAGCACTTTCACATTCTGATATTATTTTCCAATAAGCATTTAAATGAGTGGTTCTCACATGCTAGTATGCATAAGAGTCACCTGAGTGTTTCATTAAAATACAGATTTCTATGAAGGCCTGGGGGTGGGGTGGAAGGGGCCAATGGGGGAATAAATGGGGACATCTGTAATACTTTCAATAATAAAATTTTTAAAATAAAATAAAATACAGATTTCTAGGTTCTAACCAGATACTCTGATTTTGTATGTCTGTGGTGATAATCTGCACCGTACATTCTGAACAAGCATTGGCTGATTCTGATGGAGATGATCCACAGAAGTTTAAGGAACACTGATCTATCACTGATCTATGTCACATATCCTTTTTCTTACATATAACTTATCCAGGAAACATATAATCCTACAGGTCTAAAAATCATTAATAAGCTGATAATTCATGGAGTGTGAGACCTTTCCCAAGTGGTATTTATGAAGTATTTCCATGTCTTTGGTGTAATACTGGCACTAGCAAGAAAAAAAAGAGGGAGGTGAGGTGACAGTCAAGGGAAGATGTATAGCTAGTAACAAGAAAAGGAGGAAAAGAAATAGGACTCATTAGGGTCAATCCTTAAATACTAAGATAATTTTTGAGTGGTTTAATAAAAATGGTTACCTCTGTAGAAGAGCAGGTAACCTAAATCCTGGTTCAAAAATCAGTGAATTTATATTTCTGGGAAGATGGAGTAGAACCATTTTCCCCTTTTTCTTCCCACTAAATACACCTAAGAACCCTTAATGTTATATATAACACACATATTTAAAAAAACTCTGAAAGGTGAAGAAAAGAAGGCAGACGGCTAAAGAGCTTGGGACCTAAGGAACAATACAGTGAGTTATCTATTGCCTCATATACCCCAGACTCGGTGCTGCAGTCAACAACCTGGAAACACCAATGGGCTGGAACAAAAATGTCCCAGGAAAAGCCTGCCCTCTGGCCAAATAGCCAGGAAGACAGAAAACTTTTAGACAATAACCCTTGGACTCCAGCCAATCACCACACAGAAAAAAACTGCAGCCCTACCCATACCAGCAAAGGAAGAATTGAGGGCCAAGATTTCAACCCCTACGAGGCTGTAAGAGGCACCACAACTCCCTGACAAGGATGGTGACAGAGAAGGCCAAGTGGGGGGTCAGGACTTTCATCCCCACCAAGCTTTAGAGGCCCACTCTTCGCAGTGTCCATGAAGACCACCTAGGAAGCCCGCACTGTACCTCCACTCAGGCATAAAGAGGTGCCCCTTCCACTCTCTGGGGTGGGGTCAGGGGAAGCCTGTGGAGAGTCAGGATTTTCACCACTGCTCAGCAACAATGCCACCCCTTCACAGTGTCAGTGGAGACCACATGGCCCATCTTAACACCCCTGTCTCAACACCATCTCCAAAAGAATTGTCAACATTTATAGAACATAACACCCAACAACAGCAGAATACCCATTCTTTTCAAGCACCCACAGAACAGATCACAACACAAACCATATCATAGGCCATAAGACAAACGTCAACAAATTTAAAAGGAACTCAAATCACACAGTATTTTCTCTGACAACAGAATCAAAGTAGGAATCAGTAACAAAAAAGATAACTAGAAATTTTCCAAACACTTAAAAACTAAACAACTCTCTTCTACACAATCTTTCCAGAAAATAGAAGAGGAAAGAACACCCTCGGCTCATTTTATGAAGCTAGTATTACCTGGTTACCAAAACCAAACAGATAGAGTAGAAAAATATGAAAACTACAGACCAATATCCCTCATGAACAGAGATGGAAAAATTCTTAATAAGGTTTCAAATAAATTGTAGATTAATAAATGAGTTCAGCAAAATTGCAGGGTACAAGATCAAAATACAAAAATCTATTATATTTATATATAGTACTAGTGACAAACATATAGAAACCAAAATTAAAAATACATTGACCACCGCTCTAAAGAAAATGAATTACTTAAGTATAACTCTAACAAAACATGTACAGGATTTGCATGCTGTAGGAAGAAATAAAAACATTCCAAATACAATAACCAATTTAACGCAAGGATTATCAATGCTAAAACCACTGGTGAAAGAGAGTTGAGGAAAAGATGTTCTACACAGCCTCACAGAATCACCTCAAAGATTAGTCATAAATTACTAAGGAGAAAGTGCACCTTTTCAATGGGGAGATCTGAAGGTCAACATCTTCATCAAAGAAACGTACAATCACCAATAACTGGAGGAACTAACATTATGTGCATCCTGATATGATGTAGTGGGAAGTACATATGACTGCTGATGTAGAAATCTTGATAAAAATGTTTAACCGAACCAGAAATAATTACACAAATTCAGAAATGTAGGGCATTCTACAAGTCAACAGTATTCATCCAAAAAAAATAAATGTCACGAAAACAAAAAGAAACTGAGGCTCATTATAAAATTTTTAAAAGGCTAAAAAGGTGTCGCCCGGCCGGGCGTGGCTCAGCGGTCAAGCGTCGACCTAGGATCCAAGCGATCAGGGTTTGATTCCCGGTCACGGCACATGCCCGGGTGGTGGGCTGCAGTCAATCAATGACTCTCTCATCACTGATGTTTCTGTCTCTCTCTCTCTCTCTCCCTCTCCTTTCCTCTCTCTGAAATCAATAAAGATATATTAAAAAAAAAAAAAAAAAAGGCTAAAAAGGTGTAACTAAATAAAATTTGTAAACCCTGACTGGATGTAGGATTGGGAAGAGTAGGAAAACAGGTAAGAGACATTTTTTTGGACAACTGAATAAATCTGAATATAAACTGTATCTTAGGTGATATTAATAAATTAATGTTATATTTCTTAGGTATATAATGGTTTATCATTATCTAGAACAATGTCCTCCTGATGAGATTCCTGTTGAATTTTTTATGGGTAAAATGCCATGATGTCTGCAATTCAATTTTATAAATTTTTTTTTAAATGTTTTTATTGATTTCAGAGAGGAAGGGAGAGAGATAGAAACATCAATGATGACAGAGAATCACTGATCGGCTGCCTCCTGCACGTCCCCTACTGGAGCCCACAACCCAGGCATGTGCCCTGACCCAGAATCAAACCGTGACCTCCTGGTTCATAGGTCAACACTCAACCACTGAGCCACGCTGGCCAGGCTGCAACTCAATTTTAAATGGTTCAGTAAAACAAACTGTATATAGGTAGGCATAGATATAGGTATAGGCATTTATACAGTAAAGCAAAGGTGGTTAAAAGTAATAACTGGGAATCTACAAGAAAAGTATAGGGGTATTTGTTAAACTAGTCTTTCAACTTTCCCGTAGATAAGAACATTAAAATTCTTAAATAAAATTCTGGGTAAAACTTAACATGCTAAGTTTTGGCAAAACTATAAAATATAAAAATGTGCGTATCCTATAACCCAGCAGTTGCACTTCTCCAAATCTCCCCCATAAAGAAACACTCACACCCTGATCAGTGTTCCCAGTGGTTAGAGCACTGGCCTGTGCACCACAGGGTCAAAGGTTTAATTCCTGGTCAAGGGCACGTACCTAGGTTACAGGTTCAATCCCCATGAGTGCATAGGAGGCAGCTAATTGATGTGTCTCTCTCACCCCCTCATTCCACTCTCTCTAAAAATCAATGGAAAACATGTCCTCAGGAGAGGATTAACCAAAAAAAACAAGAAAAAGAAAGAAAAAGAAACACTCATCCATATGCACAAGAAAGAATACACAAAGGTGACAAGATGTATGTGATTACATGTGGTTAAATTACATAAAATTGTGACTTTCATCTTACAAAGAGATGATCCCCCTTGCTGACTGTGATGTTGGGAGGCCCACATGGCAAGAAACTAAAGGTTGTTCTAGGAGCCTACAACTGACAGTATGAACCTCAAACCCTCAGTTTTACAGCTGAAGAAACTGATTTCTGAGCTTGGAAGTGGATCCTTCACCAGTCAAGCTTCAGATGAGACAGGAGCCCCAGCCAACACCTTGATTGCAACCCTAAGAGGCCCTGATCAGAGAATCCAGCTAAGCCATGCCTATACTCCTGACCCACAGAAACTATGAGATAACAAACTTATGTTGTTTTAAGCATTAAGTTTCTGGTAACATTATTATGCAGCCATTGTTAACTAAGATATTACAGATACATGAGTATTCACACATTCAAATTTAGATTCACAAAGAAAACACAACAAATGTACTGTGGACAGAGCAATCTAAACAAATACCCATATTTAAAAGGCTAGATGAGTGAGATGGCAGAGAGAATGATTAGACAACTAAACAGTTAAGTGATAGAAGGTAAGACACTGGGAGGAAAATTGATAGCTGAAGGAATTAGCTGAGTAGAACTGATTTCTGAAGGAAATATATTGTTAGTATTTGATTTTATAAAAAATAATGTTATCAACATTTATGACTAAATGTACTTTGCTCACCCAACTCATAACTTGAAGAAATCTCTGTGGATAGAACACATTTTCCACATCTAATAAAGTGAGGTAAGACTGAACTGCATAAAGTCTTAATTGTTGATCTTCTGTTTCATCATCAAAACCTAAAAGAAATTGATATACCACTTTAATTTTCATTAAATTCTCTAAGGACTCTGTAATAAAAACCTTTAATCTAAAAATCTTTACTTTATAGAATGCAATAGTTTACTAACCTTCCGCCAGCAGTCTCAGGAAGTTATTGGGAATATCAGGATGCATTACATCTCCACCCACTGAAAACACAGCATTCATTGTCTGAATAAACCACGCATTATCAGGAGCATATGTGTCCACAGTGTTAAGAACAAGTACACTTTCAAATGCGACATTAAAATTATTCTTTTTGCAACAACCTTTTGAAAAATAACCCCAGTTCATCTTGGTTGGCATTTCTACCTTTAGCGTTTGCCAATAAATTGTTCTATATTCCGGTTTTATGTAAAATAGGTGCTCAGTAAATCTTATTTAATAAATTTTAAAAACCAGTTCATGTTGCTTTATCTAGCACTCAGCCTTGTGCATAATAGGCGTCCAATAAATAAATGTAAAATAATTGAAAAAACTGTTCCAGGAAACTATGGACAAATAATGGAAAATGATATACACTTCAGAGAGACTGAATGTTCTGATGCGTCTACTCGAACAAGTTGCTTAACCTCCTTTCTAACTTGTTCCTCTTCAGTTCTAATATTTTATCATTCTGCTGACCAGAGCTATAGCACTGGCTAGGACTTAAGCAATTTCCAAGATAACTTTATTAACATTATTCATCTATTCTTCCTTGGCTTTAACAACAGACATCTTAAAGAGAATGGAATATCTTTGTGACCTGACTTTTAAAAAACTAATGTGAAGAAAAGTAACATGTGAATGGAGTTACCAACTACTTTATTGTGACAATTTCTAATATAAACAATACAGGGGTGAGCAAAAGTAGGTTTACAGTTGTGAGTATGCAAAACAGAGTTTATTCTTGTATTATATTTATTGCTATAATTTTCCATACAATGTAAACCTACTTTTGCCAACCCCTGTAGTGTAAAGGATAAATTTTAGCATTCTGATCCCCAACTCCAAAACAACTTTTACTCAAAAACGAAACTAAGTAGGAAGTAAAGTCAAAGACAAGGAGGGACCGACAGAGACAAAAGGAAGAGGTTCCTGTACCTTCTTGCTCATAATACTGACCAACTGAAAGAAAAGAGCCAGGAAAAAAAAAGTCATCCCCTAAAAAGCCTACACACGGCCCTGGCCAGTGTAACTCAGTTGATTGGGCATCGTTCCATGGACCAAAAGGTTGCCTGTTTGATTCCCAGTCAGGGCACATGCCTGGGTTGTCTGCTTGATCCTCAGTAGGGGGCCTGAAGGAGGCAGCTGATTGATAGTTCTCTCTCATCAATGTTTCTCTCTCTTCCTCTCCCATCCTCTCTCTCTAAAAATCAATAAAAAAATATTTTTTTTAAAAAGTCTACACAAATTCCTGTTTTAACAGGAGAGGCTTGAATATCAGGAACAGAAGTTATTGCTGGGTCTCTGAACTCAACTTGCAAGTGAACATGTCTATGCCAATCATTTTAAAACCACTGTATAACTAAAGGTATTTTATGATTATGGTTCACAAAAGGATATTTCTCAGCTAGTTCAGCTATTTTCCCAACCAAATTGATGATAATATATTCTTCTTTGCTCTGATGTAAATATTCAAGCATTTTCTGGACAATCACTGTTATATTCTGTGCATTAGTAATTCTGTAAAGAAGTTCCAGAGTCTATTTAAGAAAGAGAAACAAAAACAGTATTACAGAACTATGCATGATAACACCAATAAATAAAGGTAACTATTAGAAATAAACAGAACTTAAGAAAGATAAAACTATTGCTTAAAAATGAATTACGATCAATACCAAAGTCTAAAAGCCTATTGATATAATTATGATCTGACATTTCTACATGAAATGTAGACTGTAAAGACTAAAAAGTTAAAACTTTTATAATCTATTTTCTAAAAATATAACAGCTTCAGCCTGATTTGCTTCTGGACCCAGGACTTGGGAAAGCACACCTTGGTGCTCTTCTTGGTCCTGTCCAAACACATCCAGCCCCAGCAGAGGAAACCACAAGCTATGGAGTGCAGAAAACTTCGAACAGGGTACTCAAGGCCAGTCACAAACAGCATCTGACATTGGCCTGCACCAGAGACCATCCAAAAGACTGGGAGTCCTAGCAAATCTACCTAATACATAGAAACAAATCCAAACAACCAGCCAAAATGGGACAACAAAAAAGCAAGCCCCAAATGAAAGACCAAAAGAATTCTCCAGAAGGAGAGCTAAATGAAATGGAGATAAGCAATATCAGATACAGAGTTCAGAACACTGATCATAAGGATGCTCAACAGCATGAGAAAAAAATGGAAACTATGAAGGAAATTAAAAATGACATAGCAGAAATTTTAAAAACTTTGGAAAAAATAAACAGCAAATTAGATGAAGCTGAGGATGAGATCAGCAAATTAGAAGACAGGGTAGAAAAAATCACTCAATCAGAGAACCAAAAAAAAAAACACTATTAAAAAATAGGAGGACAGTCTAAGGGAGCTGTGGGACAACATGAAATGTAACAATATTAGCATCATAGGAGTGCCAGAAGAGGTAGGAAGTAAGCAAGGGTTAGAGAACCTGTTTGAAGAAATAATGGCAGAGAACTTCCCTAACCTGGTGAAGGAAAAAGTGACACAAGTTCAGGAGACACAGAGAGTCCCAAGCAAGAAGAACCCAAAGAGGTCCACACCCAGACACATCATAATTAAAATACCAAAAATTCAAGATAAGAGAATCTTAAAGACAGCAAGAGAAAAGCAATCTGTTACCTACAAAGGAGCTCCCATAAGGCTGTCAGCTGACTTCTCATCAGAAACTCTACAGGCCAGGAGGGAATGGCATGAAGTATTCAAGGTAATGCAAAACAAGGATCTGAAACCAAGAACACTCTATCCAGCAAGGCTATCATTTAAAATAAATGGTGAAATAAAGAGCTTTCCAGACAACAACAAAAAGGCTAAAGGAGTTTATCTCCACCAAACCAGCATTGCAAGAAATGTTAAAGGGACTGCTATAATAAGAAGTTGAAATAGAGAGAATGAGAAACATAAGCATAAAGAAATAAAATGGCAGTAGTTAAGTACCTATCTATAATAACCTTAAATATAAATGGATTAAATGCTCCAATCAAGAGACATAGGGTAGCTGAATGGATAAGAAAACAGGACCCAAATATATGCTGTCTACAAGAGACCCACCTCAGAACAAAAGACTCACACAGGCTGAAAAAAAACTTCTGGAGGACTTTAAAGGAGAGATTGACAGCAATACAGTCACAGTAGGGCACTTTAACACCCCACTGACTTTACTGGATAGATTTTCCAAACAAAAAACCAAAATGACACACTATGTTAGATGGATTTAATTGACATTTACAGAACATTTCACCCCAAACTTCAGAATATGCATTCTCCTCAAGTGCACATGGGACATTCTCAAAGATAGACCACACGTTAGGATGCAAAACAAGTCTCTCCAAGTTCAAGAAAACTGAAATCATATCAAGCATCTTCTCGGACATTTACACCATGGAATATTATGCAGCTATAAAAATGAAGGGTCCCTTACCCTTTGAGACAGCATAATGGGACCTGGAGAGTATTATGCTAAGTGAAATAAGCCAGTCAGAAGAAGACAAGTATCATATGATCTTAATCATATGTGAAAGCTAATGAACAAAATAAACTGATGAACAAAATAGATACAGAGACACAGAAGCATGGAATAGACTGACGGATCTCAGAGGGAAGGCAGGGGTGGGTGCATAGGGTGCAATTAACCTAATAACTTATATGCATATATGCATAACCCATGGACACAAACAATAGTGTGGTGAAGGCCTGGGGGGAGGGGTGCAATGGGGGGGAATAAAATAAAAATGAAAATATAACAGCTTCTTAAACCTACATTACTTATGCCTGTCTGAATGTGTGTGTGTACACACCTACAGACACATATAAAAATCCAGTCTTGCAAATTGTATTTTCCACATTACCCAAACAACAGAAAACAGCACGTGAGTGGGTTTGTCAGCTAAGGGCAAAGGGTCTTTAAAAAATGGACAAAGGTCAGTGGCTCAAGCGTGTCAAAGCATAGCAAGAATCTCAGGTATCAAAGAAGAACTAGTTTTATAGCTACGTTCTCAGTACTGAGAAACATACCTCTGCTGACATGAAGGAAGACCAGTACCAGAGTAAGCTCCCATTTGGCTGGCTTTCTAAGGCCTTACATTAAGGTTCTAAAAAAAAATCATAGCTGCCAGAAATCAACATGAGACCAAGGGCAATACTGAAAAAATATTATTTACTGGTATTTTAATAACAACAATATTAGCATCAAGAGAATTTCCACACATCCTACTTGTCAAACTTGTTCAAAATATCTTTGACGCCCAGTCGGGCATGGCTCAGCGGTTGAGCATCGACCCAGGATCCAGGAGATCGGGGTTCGATTCCTGGTCAGGGCACAAGCCTGGGTTGAGGGCTGCAGCCAATCAATGACTCTCTCATCATTGATGTTTCTATCTCTCTCTCTCCCTCTCCCTTCCTCTCTCTGAAATCAATAAATATTTAAATATATATCTTTGAGGCTCTAATTTTTCAGTCCTTATAGCCAGGACTTCAAGTACAAAGTTATAATGAATTTTTAAAGATTTTTTTTTTTAAATAAAACTGTTTCAGTTAATCCTTAACTCTATTTAAAATCTATAAATACATGGGTGCCCCATCAATAGCTTTCAATTTAAGAAGCTGCTTCAGACATGTTCTCTGTAGACTCTAAACTATATGTTATATATTTTTAGATAATCTACACCAAATTTATTTCCCACTCTAAGACCACAAAATTTAGCATATCCAGGACTGAATGAGGTACTGCATTAGGTCTTCTGTTAGCTCCTTCTTTCTTCCTGTATGAAAGAAAGGTAATAAAACCAGGTAAAAGGAAACCCCAGCCCCAAGCAAAAGGTCATTCCATACCTAAAGACCAAAGTTCTTGCCATACCATTACTAATAGAGGTTAGAAGTGACAATGACATTAAGACAGTACTGTAGTGCCTTCTTGAGGCACCACTGATACTCAGTACCTTCCCCAAAGCATTCAAACTCCTTTTCTCACTGAAGGTAATAGGCCAAACACTGATCATTCTATTTTTTACTTATTTATTTATTTTTATTTTTATTTTTTTAAATTTTTTAAATATATCTTTATTGATTTCAGAGAGAGGAAAGGAGAGGGAGAGAGAGAGAAAGAAACATCAATGATGAGAGAGTCATTGATCAAGCCCACAACCGGGGCATGCGCCCCAACTGGGAATCGAACCCCTATCGCCTGGATCCTAGGTCAACGCTCAACCGCTCAGCCACGCCCGGCCGGGCAACACTGATCATTTTAATAGGCGCCTAATGAGAGCCTAATAATTCAATACAACAATAAGAAAATGGTACCTAAGTCAACCCTGTTCAATTTAGCAGCCAATCATGCCAAGAAAATGCATGCTCTGTATCTGTTCAAAGTTGAAGAGCTGTATAATTATTTGCTGTTGTCCCTTGGTACCTTCTCATTTTTCTACAATGCCTATAAAATTCCCAGATTCATTCAAGGCAGATAACAATTTCAGAAGATAAAAATATGAATTCAAAAAAAGTATACATATATATGTATATAGGTATATATATGTGTATATATATATATACATACACATACACACAGAGATGGCAGTTTATCAAAAATAGTTTTGCTTGAAAAATAGTATTTTAAAATTCATAATCTTATCTCTTTTTTAGTACATTTTTATTGATTTCAGAGAGAGGAAGAGAGAGAGAGAAAGAGAGAGAGAGAGAAACATTAATGATGAGAGTTACTGATTGGCTGCCTCCTGCACACCCCCTGCTGGAGATGTGCCCTGACCAGGAATCGACCTCAATCTCCTGGATCATAGTTCGATGCTCAACTGCTAAACCACGCCTGCTGGGCTATAATCTTATCTTTTAAAAATAACAATACAGTGTTCTCTCAATAACTACTTTTAACTCACTGCTTTTAAGCAATTTAAATATTTAGTGAGTCTTTTTATCTTTATTACTTTTAAAATCAGAAATAAAACTATCCACTCTTCTTAACTAGGTGCTATGTAACATTTTAAATGAAGGTACAGAGTGATTTCTGTGCATGAGAATTAACAGAAATATTTATATAGATACTCAATTTTACAAAAGGCAAAAGTTAAAAAAATTAAGCAAATTATACACCTTTCCTTCCAAGAAGTTAAAATCATTTTAGGAGCAGGTGGGTTTTTTTTTAACTTTTTTTTTGTTTTTTTTAATAACCCAAGGATATTTTTTTCCATTGCATTTTTAGAGAGAGTGGAAGGAAGAACAAGAGAGAGAGAGAGAGAAACATCGATGTGAGGGAGACAGATCGATTAGTTGCCTCCCGCACGTGCCCTGACCAGGGCCAGATATCAAGCCTGTAACAGAGGTGCATGCCCTTGGCCACAATCGAACTCAGGACTCATCAGTCTGCAGGCTGATGCTCTAACCACTGAGCCAAACAGGCTAGGGCAGAATGTTTTTATTAATTATTTCAACATTGAAAAAAAAATTCTTTCAACATTCTTACATATGTAATGGGGAATGCATTAGCCCATTTTACAAATGTTATGGAAAATAATGAAAAATTATTATTCATCATGTAATACACCTTAAAATTATACTAATAAAAAAAACCTGGGAATAAAATTCAGGTCTCTTATTGATATAATATCTTGGAGCAAAAAAAGTATTAATGAATCCATACCTAACTCCTTCAACTCATAATTCAAAACTATTCCTATAGATACTGACACAAGAACTTTTTAGAAAAGTTGCTTAAGTTTTAGTAGAAAGAATAAAATGCTCTCAAAAGTTAAAATACACATGTGCGCATGCACCCCAATACTCATACACACTGCCCACCACTTTAATCTTTCTCCATAACAGCAACAAAAAGTTTAAAAATTGTAACACTTTCACGTTCACAATTCAAAATACCAGTTTACCTCTCTTTTAATAATGGGATCAGGATGGTCTAGGCATTCGATTATTGTCATCTGGTGTTGAAGAGCCAGAGTAGGATCCTGTTGGATAACATAGGTAAGGGCCTTCAGTCCTAAAAGCAAAGATCACATTATATGAAGTGACTTGAAACAAATACCCAGCAAATTTCAAAAGCTCTCTTTGTAATTTCTGTCAAAAGCATCAATCATCTTACCTAAATACTTGAGATTTATTTTAGGTGACAGGACAAATTTTCCAATGCACTTGGCAGCCTTCTCAAGTAATTCAGATTTGGGATAAATAGAATAAACTGTATGCACACATTCAAACAGAATAGCTAGAGAAACAAAAAATATAAAAATGTCCTGGATGATGTTAAGGTATAATAAAAGAACATATTTGTGTAGAACTCATAACAAAACAAACTAATTGAAAGGCCAGTTGTAGTCAAAAATCTTTTTATAGAAAATTTTCAAAGATATAAACTTTTCTATTTTCAGGCTTATACAGTTATTACAATTATGTTACCACGGTATAGTTTAAAGAGAAGTATGTATAGTAATAGATAAAAATGATACATTCATTCATGCAACAACTATTTACTGAACACCTCCTATGTGCCAGGCATTGTTCTAGTAGTATGGATACAGCAATGAACAAAACAGAAAAAACCCTGCCCTCTAGGAGCCCACATTCCAGTGGACACACAGGTAATATATTCATTGTTCCTATACAAATAGATATTTCTATTTGAATGTTTTAAAATAATTTATTTATTTAAAATAACTTATTTATTTAAAATAACTTTTTTAAATAACTTATTTTTTTTTAAATAATTCATTTTCAGGCAGTTTCTACCACTTGTATAAGAAAACTGTATATGTGGTTTATTTCAATATAATCATTTTGGGAAACTCCAGCATTTATTTCAAAGTAGAGCCACTGCTTGAAAATCTTCAAATCATTTCTTTAAAATTAAGCTCCAAGAATATAAAACAATCTATTGAACACCTTGTTCAATATGATTTTCTCATGTAGTCGAAGATCTGATAACTATGACAGATGGCCAAAATGGACGCTAAATTTTTGCAAACTCTTTTAAAGAGCAGTAGTCAAGGAGCTGGAGCTTTGCTATGGTAAAGAAGAATCACTGAGGCACCATTAACTCCTGCATGTCCTACGCAATCATAGCATTAGAAGTGAGACAGAATCAGCAGATGTAAAAACAATTCTCACACAAGTTGAAGCATATCAAGTGTGCCTGACAGAATCACTCCTTCTCTATTTCCAAAAGCTGAAAATGTAACAATCAGATACTTTTTTGTATACAAGACAGATTCTGAATATTCAACTAGCTATGTTTTACATTAAGTTGCCTATCAATTGAGGCACACAAAAATGTTGTGTTAAAAAACTTTATATAAATCCTTTCCATAGAAGGAGCGAGAAATCAGAAATATAAAGTTCTCATTAAGAAGGGAACTGACTTGCCCTGGCTGGGTGGCTCAGCTGGTTGGAGCATCATCCCATACACCAAAAAGATTGCAGGTTCAATTCCCAGCCAGGGCACATACCTAAGCTGAGGGTCCAATCCCAGGTCTGGTTGTGTACGGCAAGCAACCGATTGATGTTTCTCTCTCACATCGATGTCTGTCTCTGTCTCTCTCTCTCTGCCTCTCTCTCTAAAATCAAAAAACATATCCTTAGGTGAGGATAAAAGACAGAAAAAAGAAAAAAAAGAAGGGAACTGACTTTAATTAGAGAAAAACCTACAAAGTAAGTTAACTGAACCTAAAAAAGATATTTTGTATATTCAGATGTGCTATAAAATGTCTTTACTCTGTGCTATGAAAAAAAAGTTGACTTTACAACTTTATGAATTAAACAAAGAGCCTTAACTAATCAACTAAGGCAGGAGTGGGCAAACTACCACTAAATGCAGCCTTCGGCCTATTTCCAAGCCTGTGAACTAAGAATGGTATTTACATTTTTTAATTGAGATATAACATTATATTACTTTCAAGTGTATAATTACATTTTTTAAAGGTTGTTAAAAAAACAAACAAAAACACAAAGGAAAATATGTGACAGAAACTTATGTGACTTACAAAGCCTAAAATATTTACTATCTGGCCCCTTTTCAGAAAAAGTTTGCCAAACCCTGAACTAATGTGACAGTCCTAAGCAAGATTAAAAATGATGCTACTCCATTTTCTATCATAATTCACATATTTTCCTTTATGGATTCCTGCAATTCAGAACTCTCCTGCTATCAAATTGTTTTACTATAAAAACTTCTCATTACTCATCTAAATATCTAAACTTTTATATATAGATGCTCATAAGATTTCTAAAAAGCTAGTAGAGGTAAAATTAATAGTTCAAAAACTGCATTTACTAATCAACTTAGGAGTAAATTAGTTAAAAATGAACTTAAGAGGTTTTTAAATTATTTTCCCACCTAGAACTAAGTTCCTTTATTTTCCAACTCTACAAAATCTAAATATAAGTCCACAAATGAAAAAGCAGCCACTCTGCTGTCTTTTCTCCACCGTGGTTAAAAGTGCTTCTGATGATTTCTAAACATAAAAACATAACATGGAGCTTTATTTACTCTTCCAGAGCAACCCAGGTCCTAACGGAAATACTATCAAGTAAAAATTACCAAATTAAAAATGAATAGCATTCTAACATCTGACTCTGGATTTACCATAGATATTTTGGGTTGGAATATGCACAAAATTTGAAGAAGTTCTACTGATACCTTATCCTTCAGACAACTTTACTTTCATTTTAGGTAAGTTGTGTATCTACCGATACCACTCTGGCAGGGAGATGTGCATCCCATCCCATAGAGTCCAGGTTCTCCACTCTGCCTCTTTTGACTCTTTTGAGAGGAGGGAATCCTGGTTCCTTCTGGATGGGAGATATATCTGCTACTATCCCCCTGGGGGGG